TATAAAAAATATAATGCCATTAAAGGCAATGCAGACGATCATGCATAAACACGATGATAGCAAAAAGTCAAATATGATCGACATGATCAACATGAACAAATCACCAGTAAGTAATTGTCCAATTATTTTATTAACAAAATTAATTAAAAAAAATAAAATTTCATTTTATTTTATTTTCTAGCCTTATCATGATCTGCGAGAGCAGCGTGATAAGCTTGTTGCGCCGCTTCACGCGAGAGAAGTGGTAGAAAAATATCAAGATCGTCACCGTATAAAAGAATTAATTCATACAAAACAGAAAACAAAAATCAGCAGTTCGTAATTCAGGTACCATAGAACTAGGTAAATTTATAAGTTGAAGAATTAAACAGCTGCACCCAACCGACCCAACATGGCCGCTGAGGGAAGAGCGGAGGGTGTTATGGATCCCATCGAGGATGCAGAGTGGGGCAGAAGAGGATATGTTAGACTCCTAGACGTCATCCGTATGCCGGAGATAGGGAGAGCCTCATACATTGATCCACCTCATCTAATGTTTTGCACAGGGGTAGAGGGTCTTGCACCAAGTAATTGTGTCGCAACGGCAGTAGCATGGACTCTCCGAAGAAGACCACCTGCAATGGACGTCCAACAACCGACAATCACTGAGGCTATCCAAGCCAGCTTGACAACTGTTCGTGGATGGGAGCATGCAGACCAAATGATAGTATTTCTGGGTATGGCAGGAGTTATGACACTAGCAAAAGAACTCCGTTTAACAGGGGCAGCGATAAATCACGACTACTTAACTAAGCGTTGGCAGGCCTTGTGCGCAACAGCCAAGATTGTCGATATATTTGCAACAGGGAGAGTGACTCGTGATCAGCTTATATCGTTGTTAAAAATGGTAGAAGACTGGCAAGCCTGGGTCAAACCGCATTTGGATCTCAGACGTCAAATACTTGATATGGTCCTCAGGGATCCACTAACAAGATCTCATGAGCTAACTAAGAATGCTGTAGCCCAAATGCAGATGGTGTTGCAGGAGTTCGGTCTAAAGTCTATCTTACTAATGGATGCGTTCTCTATGACCCGGAATAGAGCCATATTATTGCCAGCTGTCGCTCAACAAGCAGCAGATCTAAGGGTTGCCCTAACAGAGCTGAGAGCCTTACATGGAGCACGGTTTCCATATATGAGAGTATACCCGCTAGAAGGCTCTGAGAGACTCAACCATAGATCCTACCCAGATTTGTACTATATATCAGTTAAGGCGGCCGAGAAAGCTAAAGCACTAGGTCCTGAGGGTAGATATCAGCTGTCCGATGTTCAAACAGTCATACCCAAGTCAATCTTAGAAGAGTTCGCTGCTAGAACATTCAAAATGGACACAACTCCTGACCCCGCCACTATAGAGAATCTCAGAAAGATAAGGATAGATGCAACCAAACTTAGAGGGGCACGCGGAGAGGAAGACGATGATGATGAGGATGACTGGGGCCGAAGAAGACGTCCGCGCCGAGAGTAACTCTGGCCACTCTCACATGGACAACCTCAGACAATCCGGAGGGGACACAATAAGACAAGAAAAGACCAACAACTCTCCAAAAAAAACGACCAAAAACGACCACACAAACCTCAAAATGTCCAAAGAACGTGCTCCCCGTATACCGAGCGAGTTTGAAAGACGAGCCACTGAACTAGGAGAGTCCTTAGAGAAAGGTCTTCCCATAGAAGGATTTGAGGACTATCCCATGGAAGTCAACCCACACCTGCCACCAGCCACACCGGGGGCCTCTAAAGAGTCAGACACACAAACACCTCACTCCCGCGGCACACAAGCAAGACCAGAAACAAGAGCAGCCAAAAGAACTCTACGCCAAACACTGCCGACAGAGCCACCCCCAAAGAAAGTGCCTCCGAGTCAATTAACCAAGATCGAGACTCAATTGCATGACTTGTACACCATGGTTGCCACAGGATTTTCAAGAGTTGAAATCAATCAACAGAAAATCATAACTCTCCTCGCAGATCAAGGTACAAGAATAGGGGTTGCAGAAACAAGGATAAGTGCCCTATCAGAAGCACGGAAAGAGCAGCACATCCAGGCGATGCGACGGACTGAAGCCCCAAGAGCGCATGAGCCAACGCCACACATATCTGAAAAGAAGACATTTGGCGGTCTTGGATTTGCATAATTGCCCTAGACAGGGCCTGTTGGACTTGTGTTTCGTATCTTTATAAAAAAAAAAAAAAAGGATCTAAACCCAATCATGGAGGAGCTCATGGAGGAAGAACCAGGTCTAAGCTACCAGAGAACTCATCGTCCCATATTTAGGAAAGACAGACACCTGTCATCTGCCCTGATAACCACAGAAATCGAGTACCTTCTCGAGTACAAAGATCACCCAGAGGCACTGAAGCGCGAACACAGAGACTTGCTGGACAAAGTGGATCTAGCGGGTGCAACAGTTCTCCCTTGCTCAGGATTTATTCAATGGGCAGCAGGTGTAACTGAAGAATTAGGCTCTACTCAAGAGCCCATCACACCTCTCACAACCTCACTGCGAATAGCCAACCACGCTCTCCGAATATCCGTGAAGGATTATATGGCAACTGATTACACGATAACTGTGAATCCCACAAAAGAGCTCATAGACGTATATAAAATCAAGACAAACTTCAATAAGGCTCTGAAAAGGATAACGTACTCAACAGAGTTTCATCAAGAATACAAATTAGGTAAGATTAAGTGTGACGCATTTGGCAATTTACATCTTGTGTGGAAGAACCCAAGTAATTGTTGTCTTATAACACATTCGCACTTGGTGGCATTACGTGATATTTATAATTCATGGTTTGATGCATACCTGTATGGATTAGCTGCAGATAGAAAGTACCCAGGGTATTCCTTATACCAGGAAATTATAAAACTACGGCATTAACGACGCCCAGCCTCATATAACAAATGTATATCGCTTATGTTCAAAGGACATACATAACAGTATTGAGAATAACATTACTTACCTAAATGCGCGTTACCTAAGTAGAGATCATGTACATGTAATAAAGTCATGTAGTTTAGGTTAAAAAAAATTGAAAAAAAATATTATGTTGGTAGTTTTATATTCTAAAAGAGTTAAATAATGGGGATCCGGAGGGACAAATCATTATTATATTTCAATGATATTTCAATAATATTTCAATTTTTAATCAAGTTATGAGCAATAATATGGCGCGGTGGATACACGGGTACCCGGTTGTGCACATAAGGGTTAAAAATAACGAATATCACAAACTAAAATCACTCTACACATTGTCATAGGTTCGCTCGCGCTTTACATACGGCTCTCTCTTTGTT